GTGAACTTCAAACGACATGAAAAGGCATCTGCGATAGTCTAACTCCATTTGGCTTCTTCACTTAACCAAACTCGTTACTGCTGGCTAATTGAGAACTTTATTGTGCTATGATTGCAGTTTAATGGGAGAATAAGCGGAAAGATTTCTGTCTAAAAGATATTTAATTGGCATTCGCTCTCTTTACACATCGCCCGTGTGTAATTATTTGCACCACTCTTTTCCATATTAGTGATCCTGAATTGAGCATGAAGCCTGAATTTTTTGGCTGTTGTCTTTTATTTAAACAAAGGCAGGTGCGACATTTCACACACCAATTAAATACTTTGCGTGTCAAACAATATGATTGTGGGAATAATTTTAGTACTCATAAAAAGTTCTCCAGCTATCCACTCTAGAAATATGTATGTATGTATGTATGCAAGTGGATGGAACAAATCAAATTATCTGCGAGTCAAGGATAGGGTTGTATATATTAGACCAGGAAAAAGTTAATAGAGCAAATTTAAAGGTAAAAAGGAAAGAACATTTTTATACATTTACTTTACATATATTAGATTAATTGAAATACTAAATATTAAATACTTAACTAACATACATATTTAAATAGTTACATTTTATTTATATATAAATATTTCAAATCAGGAACAAAATCTACGAATCGCATTGTAGGTCCAACGAGCTGGCTCACCAATTCGTTATTTTTTAATAATACAATGTACTCTGGCGGTTGTATGTACATTAGGGTGGTCCAAAAACAGTAAAGTCGGAATTATAATGCTCTCACCCCCTGGGATTGTTCCATATCGAAAAACTATTTTTTTTTATTTTGAAATCAAAAAATATTTAGAGATCGCTAAAAGCGCTCAAAGTTTTCCATGTATTTTACATGGGAAAAAAACAACTTTTCGTGTAAATGGTATGGAATTCTTGAAAATCAATATTTTTCGATCGGAAAACTCTGGTTATCTTCAGGAGACTTTCAATAATAATACCCAATTGTTTATTCAACCATTTTTTAATACTAAAGATTTTTTCTGGTCCCCCCATTGAATTTTTCAAGGTTTTTGGCGAATATTGGGAAGCTGCTGCAGAGAAACAGAGTTATCCGATCGAAAAATATTGATTTTTAAGAATTCTATACCATTTCTACGAAAAGTTGTTTTTTTCCCCATACAAAATACATGGAAAACTTTGGGCGCTTTGAGAGACCTCTAAATATTTTTTTAAATTTTAAAATAAAGAATAGGGGTATATGTTTTTCGGTGTAGAACAATCTCAGGGTGTGAGAGCATAAAAATTCCGACTTTACTTTTTCATGTGTATTCTTGTACCACCCTAATGTACATACATACATATGTACGTGCATACATTTTATTGTATAATTATGCACACACATATAAAAAAATAACAAAACTTCGAAACTATTTCACAAAAAATGCATTCCAACCGCTACTTGATTGAAATGGCCGTGATGTGCCCGTCAATTGGTCAATCAAACAAACAGGCAGACACTGTTTGATCCACATTTATGTACACACGTAATTATGCAATCAATACTTCAATGTCAATAAAGCATTGGCAGCGAGTTACAAATAAATATACAAACATAGACTCGCAAGTTTAAAAAAAAAATTTAATACATATTTTTAAATTAAACATTGGTAGGAAAGTAGGCCGCTATTTTTAGTACGAAAGAAAAATTGCATATCTATGCATGATGCTATGAATCTGTACATGTGCTCGAGGGCCTATATAAATATGTAACTATGTACATACATACGTGATTCGCACAAAAAAAGCGACCAGTCTGGGATGAAAACAGAATACATTGCAAAGATACATGCGGCTACTTAGTATGTATGAAAAGAACTAGTCCCAAGTAGAAGTACAAATTATCGCTATATAAGCCTTAAGTCCATGTTCACATAGGCGAAGAGTTGGTCTGCTATACCAAACACGAGTATTATTCGAAATTCCAGCCCGCAAATGACTTCGCAAAAGGGCTAGCGGACAAGGCAGTATCAGGACTTTTAGACTCACGTTAAATACAGTCAAGGCCAGTAGACAGTTGCTCAGGCGTATCAGCAAACTAGAAACCAGTAACAAGGTTATCTTGTGATGTGTTTCAGGTCACGAGGAAGTTGATGCTTTCGCGAAATGCGGAGCCCAACGAAGCCTTCTGTAGTCCATCAGCCCTTCTGTAGTTCACCCAATGGAATACACCGAAGGGCTTCTAAGAAGGTTAAGACTCTCACGACAGTTTAATTCTAGCCGGGAGGGTCTGAGAACAATCACTGAATACATGACAGAACATTGCATGCTAAGCTACCAAGTAAATGTAAAAAGTAACTTTGTGAGGAGGCAGACCGCAGGTTTTGTAGACTTATACATCTTGGGGTAACAATATATCCAGCCATATCTTGAACATGAATCTGTATTGGCTTCATAAGGATGCAAATCCACCACTGCAACGATCCACTGAGGCGGCGCTTCACGAAGTCATTACAACAGTTGGGAGATCTTAGAGATTCCTGCAGTGCACACCTGGAGACCTTCCTTGAAATAGAAACAGCTTTTAACAATGTCCGCTATCCACAAAAACTGAGTCGTATTTGGCATCAGTTTATTTTAGCGGCAATACTGCCGAACGTTCTCAACATAATTGGAAAATGAATTCTAACGAAGATATTTCCGCACTTTTACACTTTTAAGGCTGCTGCGGTAAGCCAGCTTAGGCAACTGGGAGTGAAAGTAGCAACCTACATACATATATCTATGATAATTTGGGTAGCCGAGCTATTTCCATAAATGTTGAGCAGCAACATTGAAGGCGCTCTAGGAAAGCCAAGCCGATAAACTGAGCACTGTGGTCTTATCATGTTGCTTCGCCTGCTGATTCGTGTGTGGGCAGGTTTCTCATGGCATGAATATCAAAACATTTTAAAACATATATTACGTTGGTTGCCAAAACGGTTACCTCGTGTGTACTCAGCATTAGAGTCAACCCGGTCGTGAAAAAAACCCCTAGCATTGAATTAGCAAATTTGAATATCCAAATGAATGCAACGATTATTTAAGCGAGCGAGAAGTATCTGGGAGTCAAACTGGATCTTAATCTATGATAGTGATTCGTCCGATGTCATGTTACGGTCCCCTGGCCTATCATGTAAAACTAGGTAGCAGATGCTTTCTCCGAATCTCTGGGAGTAAGAAAATCAATCCACCTTGTTTGACTCAAAGAGCTGGGTTTATAGTGTAGAAGTAGTCAGGGCTATCACAGAATCCATTGTAGTTCGATTTTTTCTCTGATTCTCTGGGAGTAAGAAAATCAATACACCCTGCTTGACTTTGCATGTGTTTACCTAGGAGAAGTATTTGCAATCGCTGAAGGCTTTCGCCTTATGAAGAGTAGTAGTTTTGCGGACAACCAAGTGTCCATTAAAGCTATAGCATGCTTTACTAAATTTAAATGGGAACTAAATATGTTTATACAGGGAAATTTTTTTCTCATAGTTGGTCTTTGGCACTTGCCTGCTATATATGTATGTAGTCAAATTCATGTAGCCCGTATACAACCTGAAAAGGACACACATTTTGTTTCGAAATCCCTGCACACCACCAGCAAGGAGTTCGGTAGAAGCTGCAGGGACAATTACGAACTGTTAACAGTAAAACACCTTCTTTTTACATATCCAGCTTTAATGAGAAACAGGAATACCACACTAGGAGGATACGATATCTGATACTTATAAGCCTCTACATCACTTGGTTGCTACTTGCTTACTTGTAGTTAAGCTATTCGTCGCCATTCTAACCCAGCCTAACCGCGGTCTTATCTCGTTAGAGGTTAGGCACACAGATTTTTTTTTTCAAAGAGATGTTTAAAAAGCACGAATATTTATGTTTTTTTTTTGTAAGTATGTATGTATTTATTTTTATTGTAAACGCTAAATATGTTATATTTAGCTATGTATTTCTGTTGCTCAATCGAAAAGCTAAATAAAATAATTTTATTTGTGCAATGATGTGAGTATATTAATAATAATATTATGTATTTACGGCATAACATACATATGTACATGTATGTATATTTATAGACACATTTATCTGCTTTTAACGGTTTCGTCAAATAATTCACTTACGCATTTATTTACATACGTACAGTTACAATAAAAATATCTTTGTTCTTAGAAATTTTAATGTGTTTATTCACAAGAACATTTTTGCCTGCTTCTACGAAATGTACAAACATGCAAATGTAGATACATATTATGGATCTACTTTTCTTTTGTGCTATTTTCATAATTCCAAAAACTTTTGTTTCATAATCGTCGCGTCAATTCAGATTTTGAACTCAAATATTGCCAGTTGCAGTCGATGCAGAAGAGATATTTTACTCGAAACGCTTAAAATATTTTTTATTGATATATTATCTTACTTTAACATATGTAATTTTATTATTAATCATTTTATTAATATTTACTTAAACATTTCATTATAGACTCCATATTAGCCTTAAACTAAAAATTGTTTACTTGGTAAAATATTACACGTTTCCAAAACATTATTTGCCTAACATTAATATAAGTTTACTATGTATGTCTGCATGTATTTTGTGCATGTGTGTGTGTGTGTATGTATTTTGTTTGCTTTTAATATCAATTTAGGTACAATCAACATAATTCAAGTGAATTTAATTAATGTTTTTTATTATTTTTTTCTCAAATAAGTATATCTACTTGCACTCACTTTTTTTAACTTTCAAAAGCTTTTTTACTGTGATTTATTACATAATACCTTACTTAAAATTTTTTAATTCTACAATTTTTTATAACCTATTTTAGTATTTTTAGTTTAGTTTACTTTTTTTAATTATAATTACAGCACTTATTAACTTAAAAACAAAAGTGTGTTACTACTACATTAAATACTTTTTTTAAAATTTTGGTTTTTTCCAATAATGTAATATTTTAATAAGTTGGTTTTGCTACTCACATGTATGTATGTATTTATTTTATTGTATGTATATTGCGCCTGTAGTGTATTGAAACATTTTCTAATTGCATGGATTGCCACTTTTTACGAATTAATCGTCAATTGAATCCTCATCGCTGTCCATCCATCTCCAGAAATATTTGACTTCTGAGTCCACTATTTCGAAGAAAATTTCACACCGACTGGCTATATCTTTTTGAGTGAAAGAAAATTAAGCAAAAAATATGTTTTTTGTTTTAATTTTTAATGAGACGAAGTGTAGAAAAATGTATATTTTTTAATATAATATGCATATCTACATACAGTAACTCAAACAAGTGAACGCGTATTGTTTATCATTCTAAATTTTTTTATTTTTCTATAAAAATATTGTCCACTTTTTTGTACTTTATCCATATGAACATGAATTTCTTAGGAAATAAAATGCGAAATACGTTCTTGAAAAAATTCAAAAAATCAACGGCAGTTGTTTGTAAATTGCACATGTTATAAAAAAAATAAAAAAATTTTAAACCAATGCGATTTTTTAGCCACTTGAAGCTCGCACTTCTGTTGAATAAAACTGTGTGGGTTATAAAACTGCATACCCAAAAATTTTCAAAGGACTCAAATTAAACATTTTTGATTTTGATGAAAATGCTGAATTTTCTTCAACTTTGTATAAAGTTTTAAACTTTGATCTACATGAAAAATAACAAAAAAAAATAAATAATAATATCTGAAAAACATTGCGAATATTTCAAAAAATCAACACGTGGTCCTTTGTTAGAGTCACTGTATATTTAGAAACAAAAAATTATGGGAACTGAGTTTCAAAGCAAAATTTTAGTATATTAAATTTTTCATATAATTGCGGCTGGTGGTATTTCTATTATAAAATATTTGAAAAAAAATAAAAATTTTATTTGATGGTGCACATTTAGCAAGTAATCAATTATGTAGTTAATTACTGTGGGTTTAAGATAATCAATATTCTTTTTAATAAGATGACGGTGCCGAACGTTTCATTTTCACAGCCACAAAACTTGGTGGACAAACTTTTGAAGGAAAAACTTTTTATTATTTTTATTTTCATTTAAAAACAGAATCGTAATTTAATGTGAAGTGATGAAAAATAATTTCATTTCATCTTTCCACAAAACACGAATCGAAATAGAAATTTTGCGGAACTGCAAACATTTGTTCTAACTATTTACATAAAACCCAAATAACTTCGAAAAATCAATATCTACCTTAATTTTTAAATCTAACAATTCCAAAAAAAAAATCTTCTAAATTTCTAAAAAACTACAAAAGTTACGAAAAATCCGGCAATAATTGCTGAACGATCTAGGAAAATTTAAAATAAGCCCCGAAAAATTTCGAAATTCGCGAAAAATGTAATTTGTGAAACTGGAAAATATCATAAAATCGTGAAGGTTTCTAAAGATGCTAAAAATAACAAAAACAGCGGAAAATCGCGAAACGTCACGAAAATGCCCGAAATAAATCCTGAAAAACCCGGAAATTTTTCCTCCAAAACCTGAAAAAAAATTTGACAAACCACGAATAATTTAAGTTTTGAATCTGGAGCATGTCAAATATCTCGAATTCTTTTGCAAAATATGAAAACTCTATAGTCTGCACTTTTATTCAGCTTGAGGTCATTTTTAATGAAAATGTTTGTTTTTATTTCAGAGATCACCACATCTCACTGGTACTTGAACTAGCAAGTCCGGCTTACAGCGCCAGTGGTCTACACCAGCGCTCAAGCTCAACAAAATTGTTGAATATAAACGGTTATTAAGCCAATAAATAACAGAAAACAAAAAAGAAATTTTAAGTCTCAAAAAAAGGCGCGAAAAATCCCGGGACTTTTCAAAGTAAATCGTGAATGATCCCGTAAAATCTCGAACAAATCTAAAAATATTCTTCACAAATCTCACAAATCATTTGATATTTTTTTAATTGTGAACTTTATTGCTTGGTAGTGGCAGAACAAAAGACATTGCGATCTGAAAGATCTATTGTGTCTCCGAAGAGAGTCCCTAACCCAGTATAAAGAGGATACGTTCGGCTCTCTTGATGAATCCTACTAGTGCCTGGAAGGCGAACTCTATAGTTATTAAAAGGATTCGGGTACTGTAAAAAGTTGTAAAATTAGGTAATTGTAGGGCCAGTGCAGGTAAACGTAATACTTTCTTTGATAATTGATACTAGTCGCACAATTTTTAAGGCAGGTATCGCCAATGTGCAGGTATGCTAAATGCATCTATCGGAGCAGTTTCCTTATAAATGTTAAAAATAATGCCTCTGATGCGCATTTTAGGGTAGGTATCTTAAATGTGCACTTAAGCATAGAGGCAGCAAAGCAAAATATACTGTATATAGATTCGCATGGTATCGTCAAATTTGATGCGAAAACTTCTTTCTTTATTTGCGTCTTTTTTGTATCAAAACCAGCAAAATAACTTTTATTTAGAGTATGTGAAACTTAAGCTTAAAACCATTTTCTACCCGAACTCCACAACAGTGAATATCCAATTATTGCAAACACTTTACAAATAAAAAAATAACCGTAAAAGTAATCCGTCGCACTCTCATATTTCTCCTTCCTTAACCACATGTCGCCACAGAATTGATTGTGCTCAATTCCCAACAAATACAAATACAAATACAAATACTTAAGCTAAAACGTAGCAAATAAACAAAAAGGCAATAAACCATTCAATACACATACATATATATGTACATTGGGGTGGTCCTAAAATGCATGAGGCCAAAAAGTAAAGTCGGAATTTTAATGCACTCACTCCTAAGGATTGTTCTATGTCAGAAAAAATATACTCCTATTTTTTTTTTATCAGAAAATATTTAGAAGTCGCTCATAGCGCTCAAAGTTTTCCATGTATTTTATATGAGGAAAAACCCACTTTTCGTAGAAATTGTATAGAGGTCTTAAAAATCAATATTTTTCAAGCTGCTTCTCTGCTGGAGATTCCCTATAATAATAACCAATTCCTTATGCAATAAAAAATCGTTATTAAAAAATGGTTAAAAAAACAATTGGGTATTATTATTGGAAGTCTCTTGAAGAGAGCCAGAGATTTCCGGTCGCAAACTATTGATTTTCAAGAATTTTATACGAAAAGGTGTTTTTTTTCATATAAACTATATGAAAAACTTTGAGCGCTTTGAGGGACCTCAAAATATTTTTTGATTTCGAAAATAAAAAATAGGCGTATATTTTTTCCGACATAGAACAATCCTAGGGGGTGAGAGCATTAAAATTCTGACTTTACTTTTTATTTTTTTTTGTACCACCCTAATGTATCTACATACTTATGTACATACTTCGGTGCACTCACCTTAATCACTCGCCACGCTAGTTGCCGTCACACCGTATTTGTCGTTGCCATTATTGTTATTGTTCTTGCTATTGCTGTTGTTGTTGTTGTTATTGTTTTTGTTGTTTCCAGCATTCTTTATGCTAGCGACATCAGTGACAATGGCAGTTGCCACCACACCACTATCTGCAATGGATTTTGGCAACACTTTCGCTTTGGCACACTCAACCCCTCCTCCTCCTCCTCTGCTCGACGACTTCATCTCTTTGTTTGTCAGCTCAGCTGCTGCTTCGGCTGCCGACGGCACATTGGCTGTGGTTGAGGAGGCGATATTCGTAGCAGACGTCGACTTTGTAATGCCACTTGGACTCTTGTTGTTGCTGGTGGTGGTGGTGGTGGTGATGCCTGTGGACGAACTTATTTGAGTTACATCCTCTGCTGCATTTAGCTTGGCCGCGTATGCTTCAGCGGCGGCTGCGGATGCGCGCATATTTAAATTGGCGGCCACTTGATCGATGGTCGTTGGCTTTTTTATGGTGCGTGTCGTTGCCGCCGCAGTTGTGCTGGTGGGGGTGGGGGTGGAGGTGGCGGTGGCGGCGGCGGTGGCGGCGGTTGAGTGTAGCATAACAGCTGGACTGAGAGGAGCTGCAACGCCGGTTAAAGGTAGCGCCGTAAGTGGTAATTTCTTTTGTGCAGGCGGTGAAGTGAGATTAAGCGTGGCTGTGGATGTGGATGGGGAGCTGGCGGTGCTGGTGCTTGTATTGGTGATGGAGTTTGCAGTTAATGAGTCAACAGCAACAGCAGTTGAGCTCACCGTGGGCAGCGTCGACATATTGCGAAACGCCAGCGCCGAGGGATTGGGTATGTTGCGCACGGAAGCGTTTTGCTGCCGCGACAATGATGATTGTTGTGACTTTGGCTTCTCATAGGATTGTGAGGCGCGTATTGCGATCTTCTCGCGCGCTGTTGCCGACTCGGAAAGCAAATGTAGATTCTGCAGATCATCGTTGCTCATATCTGTTGGCAAATTCAGCTGTTGTTGTTGCTTTGAAGCAGCAGCGGCGACGCTGTCTTGCACCGTTGTGGAGGTGATGTTCTGTTTCAGCTTATTCAAAGCCGCCTCCAGGCTTTCTCGGACCGATGGAGCTATTAGCGTGGCATTGACTGTAGTATCAGCCAGTCGAATTTCTTCTTTGCCACCAGCACTGCCGGCGGTGTCAGCTATTTCAATAAATTGATCCCTAGAGTTGGGTCTGAATTCACGCAAGCTGATGCGCTGCGGTTGCTGCAATTTTTTCTCGGTAGCGCCGTTGTTTATGCCATTGCCCTCCTGTTTGTTGCAAGCTTTATCTGCGCCTTTCTTAGTCGCCGGAAAAGTTGGACCATGCAGATTTACAAGCGCCGGCGGTGACAGCCGGTAAGGATTGTTCCTTCCTTGCCCGAGGGGCGTGGTACTCAAGGCCGCTTGCGCCGACTTTGTGGCGCCAGTGGTGGGCAAAGCGCCCAGTTGCTGCCCCACGGCTTTCTTACCCTTGACCATAGACAGTGGCGGTCCCATCATCCGACTACCGCCGCCTTTTGTAGATTTCACAGTTGGTTGCGATTGCATATCAGCAGCCGCTTGCCCAGAGTTGATGCGCACAATTTCCACGGCGGGTTTGTTGTAGGGCAAATGCAAGGGGGTGTAGGGTGGCAATTGCCAGTGCTGTTGCCTTTGCGCTATGCCACCAGGTTGGCGCGCTGTAATTGTGACTGCGCTACTGCCAGCGCTGGCGCCGTGCGCCTGCGTTACAGTGTCGGCCATCTTGGTAATACTAATAGTGGTTGAGGGAGTGTAGGGTTTATTCGCATAGCTGCTGTAAAGGGACTTGCGTTGCGAGGCGTCCAACTTTGGTTGCTTGCCGCGCCCGCCAAGCGCGTATGACTCATCCAAGGAGGCGGATCGCTTCAGCTGCATGCCAAGTTGTTTGCTGCTGGCGCTGGCTATGGATGAAGGTGTATATGAGCTATTTGTTGCGGGCGAGGAACGACGTGGCAAGCTAGGAACTATGAAGTGGGGATGAGACTTCGGTACAGGTGCGGAACCTTGTCTGTTGTACTGCGGTATTGCGGTTGGTTTTGTTGCTGTTGATAGCGACTGCTTGCCCTTTACTACTTCGGATTGCTTGCTAGCGCTCGTCGTCGACTTAGACTGACCAGCAGTTGTACTTGTGACGGTCAGTGTATTAAAATTGAGTGGGGTTGTCTTGAAGAGGCTGGGCGGCAAGGGCGGCGATGCTGGTAACTTCACTTCCTTGATATTGTTTAAAGGTTTTGTCAGCAACTGAGATTGTGGTAACGACAGCAACGTTTCATCGGCTTTAACAATTTTGACGATCTCTTTGCTCTTCTCCTTCTCCTTCATGAGATGATTAATACTACGCGACTCTTCGCCAAGTGTCTTATTTAACGCCAAGAGGCTATCCGTTTGTGACGCGGTAGGTGTTGTACCACTCGTCGCCACTGCATTGGCATCCTTAGATCCCCTGCTCTCGTGGTGTGACTTGCGCCCTTCGTCGTTGCTCCTCCGCGTGCCGTAGCTTTCTGATTTGTGTGATTTATGATTATGCGGCGCCGTTAGCTTAACCTTCATCTTAAGACTCTCCTCCTCTGGCTTACTGGATATCTCGGCATGCATTCTGCGGCGCTTGCTGTCTTTTGGGTCCTTAGAATCTTTTGAGTGCTTCTTTTTCCTCTTCTTGTGGAACGAAGTAGATGCTAACTCGGTGGGTGCCGACATTGGAAATGCATTATTCGATGAGCTGGTGGTTGAAGAAGCTGAAGAGAGTGGTGAGGCATTCGGGCTATATTTGAGCTTGTCACATGATTCCGCCGATTCCGGTGGCGTCAGCACCTCAATGGGTTGTAAGCCGATATTCTTAGCATATGTCTCAATATCAAGCTGATCATTCAAAGGCCCAGTCACATCGTCCAATGAATGTTTGCGGTGCTTGAAGCGCCCTGATTTCTCCGAAGACCCACCACTGTGCAAAACACCTGCCGATTTAGGCTTCGAAATGCTCAAGCGTGTCTTCAAGCTGTTCAATTCAATCTTCAATTTTGGCACATTTCTAGTCGTTCCGCTTTTGGATGTCTCCGATGCAGCGATCATCGTTACAGATGGTGGCGATTTCTTGCTCGCAGTCTTCAATTGTGCCAGCGATACATTCTCGAACTCGTCGTCGATTGAGTATGGTGACTTCGGCACTTGCGACTGCGGTATGCTCACCACAATATCACACTTGGGCACCACCGATGCGCCCTGAGATGGTGTTGGCTCAACAGCGATCGCAATATCGGCTGATTTAGGTGAGCGCTGTGCACTCTTCGGCGAACTCTTTGGTGAATTGCTGTTGCTGGTCGTGGAGGAGACAGCATAGTCGCTGTAACGCATATCATTGCTCCGCAGACTCTTGAAATCATTTGTTACTGTGTAGGTAACTTCCTCATTATGGTTGCGCTTTGGCGATGCCTTTTTGCCGCTATCTGCACTCGATTTACGCGCAATTATCATTTTCACTGGTGCATTTATCTCTTCAACAGCTGATTTGATTGACGTGCTCACCTTGACGCACTTTGGTGACTTGCTCTGGCCTTTATCTGTGTTTTCCAATGTTGTGTGGGCGCTACAGTTGTGCGAAAGCGGAGAAGTTGCACAGGGCAAAGTTGTAATGTTCGTCTCATCGCAAATGGTAAGCTCTTTGCTTTGTTGTGTTTCTGTGGCTTTTATGCTGTTAGAGCAATCAGTTCTTTTAACTTCGACGTCGGATTTATTGGAGTCATTTTCTATTTTTTGCGACTCATCACCATAGAATAGTATGCGATAGGTGAATTTCATGGGCGCGTGCTGTAAATCAATGAGTATAAGGGTAATAACAACAAAAATCGGAGATGTGTGAATAATAAATATACAGGATGAACTGAATTTATGTGGCGCCAGAAGCTGCGAGCTCACTCTACCATATTTACGTATCCCTGTCTGTCGTTGGAGCTTAAAGACCCGTAAAAACTCGAAATGCTATATGATTTGCAGAGATTTAGAAATCTGTACAAATGATTGAGATATATATTTTACACAACGACAGCTGGATAGATTTATATAAAAGAGGAATGGGCAAAGATAGCTTTATTTCAAGCTTAAAAGCTCTTCATGACTTTTAAACCTTTCTGTCGATATTTAATGGGCGCGCACTCTTTGTCTTAATACAAACAGTACGCTCGAGCTTAGATCAGCATTAGATCAGTGGCGATCAGCAAGGGCTTTTACGGTGTACAAAGCTTTTAAAAGCTTTTCATCCCGAATACGTCGCGTCATACAACTTAAAAGGGATCTGCCTGAGGGCTAACATATTTCGCTTGAAAGCTAACATTTTTCAGTGGAAAAAGCTTTTAAAAGCTTTCAATACTTTTGAGCTCTTCTAAGATTTCTATTATCTATTTTATAGACGTGTACAGTGTAAAATCCTTGCCTTCTATATACCTCCATCTCCGGATCTAAAAGCATCAACTTCACTTTCAGTACAATTTCATTCGAAAATTTGTAGAAATAATAGATATTCTACACAAATCTGAATTAGCGTCAAAACGAGAGACATTGATACAGGACCTGGAGTTTCCGTTCACCTCTCCCTTAAAACCCAGTTTTTATTGTGGGTCACTCTTCAACGAACGATTAAATCATATGAAAAATAATTACAATGCAATATGTACAGGGCTTCAGTAAGGAAAGAAAGCAGAGAAGGTACTGCCTTCAAATTAATAAGATATAAGTCACGCGTGTTTTCTTGTGTTAAGAGTTAAGGCAAGAAAGCTGCTGAGACTCCTCACCGCACTACTTTCGAACTTATGATTTTGAAAATGAGAATCCATCCGGCTTCTGAAGACATTGACATATCTTATGGTAACGTACACATTTGGGAACGAATTTCGGTCATCCCTTGTCAAGTTTGGTTTGGAGACAAACCGGTTTGCCATCTTCAGTATCATAGTTCAGTACGAGTAAGCGCCCTCGTACACCTCGAGAAATCGTATTATCTGAAGGATGCTGCTTTGGCAGAGTTGTTTGAGGTAAGAAGCTCGGCTAAAAACGGTAAACGCCATTTTTCTTTTTTACAAAGTGGAGATACTTGAATGGCGTATATAGAGGTTTAAGAAAACTACATACACATATGTACGCATATATAAATATTCACAACGGAATCGCATTTGAGCAGAAAACAATCTTTAAATATAAAATTCACGTTCTTACTGAGCGACCTTCTTATGTATACAATAGTAGGTATCCGTTCTCGAGGTTGTGAGGAAAAATGCGCTGACAATTTACTCTATGTGCACGCTTATAGCTCAGTTATGCAGACTTTGCACTGCACTGTAGCCAATGGTAGTCATCTATTACGGCAAAATGCTCCGGAACCATTGTCAGACTAGGCCGATCATACTTTGAAGTGCCATCAAATTATAACTTAAGAAAATTTTATTACATGGTAGTTGAGAAGTACAATATATAGATTGCTTGGCGTTAGTAGTCGCGCCTAAACAGTTGTCCCTGCCCATCATATTTTTCGTCAATATTCTGTCATCATAATCTAGTGGTTTGATCTAAAAATTAAAATATTTCACTTTAGGATTTTGAAAATATTTCGATTATGCTTAATTTTTCGTTGAATAACTTGTCCAAATAACTCCATACCATCCTACAGTAAAAGTTTGAACGAAAATGTATCGTCTAATTATCGCAAACGGTTAATATTCATTCAAAAAACTGTAAAATTTGCAACAAATTCAAAGCCCCGTTTTTTCTATAAATCAACATACTTAATATTCTTTCTGTAGTGATCATTATATTCGTTTTAAAACTTAAGGAAATCTCCACAAACTGAAGTGTTAATCGTTTTTGTATCTCCTGTACGTCAGAAGATATACGAATAAGAACTTAAAAAAATTGTAAAAATGCCAAAAATCAAGTGGCTAGAAACATTTTTTGAAGAGGAAATAATTTACAACAAATGGGTACAAGTTTTGTCTTTTGCCGTTTTCGTTTCCATAAAAAATGGTGCCTTTAAATTGCCCTCTCCTGAGAGACAGCACTTAAATGCTCCGATGAGGTCAAATATCTGTGGATGACGCTAGATAAGAGACTTAATTGGAACTCCTATCATTGCAGAATGGTTTCTAAAGCTACACGGGTCATGTGGGCCTGCCGAAGACCTTTTGGTAGGAAATGGGGTTTGAGCTCAAGGCTGATAGATAGACTTGATCTACCGTATGCTAGTCCGTCCAATTGCGTCTTATGCATCCATAGCTCCTCATATTTTTATCCAAGAAACAGCAGCCACGAAGGAACTGCAACTTCGACTATCTAACGACGGCTTCTTCGTAAAGAAGCTTCATGCAGGTATTCTTGGGAAGATACCAGGGTTGAAAATATGCGGAATCTCAGATTCCATGAATAAAGAGGTCTGCTTTGGCGGAAAATTCCGAGTGATAATCACCGATCGCGAAGTTTGGGCAAAAGTGCTCCCTGGACTTGATCTCAAATACATACGTTGGTACACAGACGGTTCAAGGATGGCGGACACAGCGGGTGCAGCTAACTTTGGACCTAGCCCCGAACTTGCGATTTCACTTTCTTTATATTCAAAGTTCTTTGGCTTGGTGCTATACTAAATACTTAGTGCCAGAGTTCGAAACCTAATATTTTTTTTAACATCCACTATTTCAGTTTCTTACACATAAACTCCATTAAAAATTTTGCATGTACATACATATGCACTTAAAAAACACGTAAGTATACAAATGTATATGTATATATTAGGGGGCTTCATGAATTCATTCAAACTTCTAGCCAAACAGAGTACAGATTTTAATATTTTACTTCACATACAAAACGCTGAGTTTAGAATTTTGTGTACTTGTACACTCAAATTCGAAAAAAATTTTAAGCCAAAATCATTTATTCGTTTTGCATATGAATAATTCATAAGCCATTTCGAATGAATTCATGCAGCTCTCTAGTATATATGCACGTTTTTAAGCTTAGAACTTTAATAACGCGTACATAGTATGTTTAATGAAAATATTCGCTATAACTCACCCTCTTCCAATTGTAACAATAGCCCACATCCATTAGCGTAAAATCATTTGGCAACACCTCATCCTCATAAATCACTTCCACCTCGATACGCTTACTCTCCGGGTCAATGCCGAATTTAGAGCAGAGGAAACGTTTCAAGTGACGTATCTTCACACCAGCTGGACATTGTAGGTAACGAACTGGTGGAATTTGACTCGTGCTACAGCCTTCAAGCAACGCCGGATGATATTCCAATGACAAACTAATGACCGGAAAATGTAGAAAGAAAGAAAGAATTGAAGAGAGATATGAAACGACGGAAAGTAATAAAATGCATTTAGAGGAATTTTCTAGGAAGTTGCAATGCAACTGCAACGAATGCCAATTGCAAACTTTTACAGCAGCATTGCAAAATATGTATTTCAAATTTCTTACCTAATTGGTTCAGCTGGCGCAAAGAAATTCTCTTCAATTGTGTCCTGCTCACAGCTATCGATGCTAACCGCTTCCTCGTCGTCCGTTTTCTCTTGCCCATTGTGCTGTGTGGCTCTGAAATGTAATACACGTTCGCGTTCCTTTTGATACAAACCAGGTACCAATTTGAAGATTAATGCGCGCAGCACATCATCCGATCTGTAAGAATGAAAAAGAGCACAAGCGAGAAGTTGTAAATCAAGAAAGAGACCTTCGCACAAAAAGGGGAGTAATTGAAATATTAATGAGCTTATCGGATACTTACTTCAAATTGGTCACATTGATTTGTTTGCCACCTCCAGCAAGCTTACATTGCGGACAGCATGCTTCGCCGAGTAAATGTTGAACAATACAGCTGCGGCAATCTGAAAAGTGATATAGGAAAGTTTTTAGAAAACGATGAATGGTTTGAGTTGGCATTTTTAATTGTCTTTAATGTCTATTATATTGGTAGTTTGGATCGGAATAAATGTATAAGAAGACGTATGCTAATTAGTTGGAAAGTGTACAGAGGCTTGTCATTTTATCTATTCCTGTAGACTTATAGCTACGAATCTTCTTCCAGTACCGAATCTTGGACCCCTAGACTCGAATAGGCCAATAGGTCATATTATTATGTATTTATAATGAAAACTCGAAAGGTGGCTTGGGAAAGGTTTGTGTTGCTCCTTGAAACGAGAATATCCGATTCAAAATTCATCAACAGGCCCACAAAGCCCGAGTGGCTTTACAAGGCATCCTATTTAAATAGAAGTTGCATCTAAGCACTTTTTACGATATTCAATATTAAGAATGAAAAGACCAATACAGTTCGCTTCACAAACGTTGAGGAGAAAGTTTACGTTGGTTGCGCACAATAAGGCAGTGTCGCAAATTTTTGCTCCGAGTTAGGGCCTGCCTGCTGTTACTAAAACACGTGTGCATCATTACGCCATATACATATCTAGCATCGTTTAACTTTGATATCCGCGTAAATAGATCTTCAGAAAGCGCATACGCAAACGCCTTGTCCCGGTTACCACAAAGCATGACACAAAACGTCATGGAAGTTGACTTTATTGAATAGAATGCGATTCAAAATTTACCGCTAACGGCAAGTGACTTAGGCAAGGCAACGAAAGAAGAAAATGAAGTTAAGGTTTTAACTGAGTCTTTGAGGTATGGAAGAGTTTGTAATTCACGGGACAGGTTTGGCATAGAACAAACAGAATATTCACTGCAAAGTGGCTGCTTACTGCGAGGAATACGGGTTTATATCCCGATCGAACTTCGGAAAAAAGTTTTAATGGCACCTTTCACCGGTCATTTCGGTAGCTCGAAGATTAAAACTCTGGCTATAGCCTCCTGCTGGTGCCCAAAATTAGTCGTGGACACAGAAAACATGGTACTGAATTGCTCATTGTGCCAAGCCCAGAAGCCTAATCCACAAATGGTGCCCGTATACTGTTGACTACCACCCCGTAAAGTCTTCGAGAGGGTGCATGTCGATTCCGCTGGGCCTTTCATGGGGAAATATTTTTTCGTTTTAGTAGATTCGTTAAGTAAGTGGCCGGGAATACATCTTGTACCAAATATAACAACAACGGCAACAATACTTAAATGCACACAAATATTTTCGACGTTTGGTGTCCCAAATATTTTAGTTTCGCATCATGGCTCTCAATTTAATTCTTCTGAGTTCAAATGTTTCCTAAAGGAAAATGGTATCATACATAAACAGGGGGCATAGTATCATCCAGCCACAAACGGCCAAGCCGAAAGATTTTTTCAGACTTTTAAAAATAAAATGAAATCGATAAGAACCCAAGCATCCACAATAGAAAACGACTTAACAATATTCCTTCTATTCTTCTATCGACACTCCATCCACCAGGGCTACCAGGAAATCGCCGGCCAACTTGATGATAATCGTACGTGGACCCGACATGTAGACCAAATGCGAAAAGTTGGAAAACTGGTATCCCATACACCTGCAAATGTGGAGGTGCAACCATCAACACCAACAGTAACATCCGAAGTCGCACCGGTTGGTATTGGAAGGGAGAGTCGTCTTGGCGTCGCTCGGGATAAAGGCTCTCAAGCAAAGAGATCGGAAACCACCGGAGAGACTCCAATATTCCACTAATTGGATGCCACATTGAATTTGGGAATAAGTGAACTTTGAATTTCTTTAACTTTTAAATTTAACTATGTTATACCCTAACTTTTATGATAGTTTGGGCAGAGCTGTTATATATGGCATTTAGTATTATGACTACCTTTAATACGACACTGTTTTGCATAACTATTGTATTAGAGTTAAGCACCATAAGGACGATCAATGCGACACTGTCAGAGAATTTAAATATATGTATGTATGAACAATAAAGACCAGTCAGTCAGCAAACAACCATACACATGTTTATAATAGGCACAAGTACAGCTTTTTGCATATACTAAATTTAAAAAAAAAGTGTACTTGGTACATTTTAACGTGTAGGTCCGTTACCTAGTATTTAATAAAATTAAAAAACCTTGATTTTTCAAAAATTCTTTTCGTTTTTGAAAGTTTGTTAGACGAAAATAAATTTTTCCCAGACATTTACACTTTTTTGAAAAAACTCTGGCAACACTGTTCTCAGCCAAGCTAATCTTACACAACCTACGACATGATTTCAAAAGATTCAATATAGATCTGTAATCCTATCAGTTGCTATGGTTTATAATAAATTTCCCACATAACGTGGCATGACAAGTTCACGATTTTTTATTTAATTCTCTCGGTAGCCAATTAATTATCCGGGAAAAAAATTAATCGCTTCACTGGCCCATTGGTACAATAAAAGAAATAAAGATACAAAGTAATACTTACATGTATGCAAACAATTGTCCACCGTTGTAGGATTTATCAAATAGCCATCGCATAGAGAGCAGCTCAGTAATTCATTAAATTCGCGCACTTTTAGCGTTTTTGTTGGTGATTGCAGCTTCATTTTGACTATTTCTCTTTTAGTTTATTTTTGTATAAATTTTTTACTTTTTTGCTTTATAAGCTTGTTTACAATTCTTAAAACACACACGCATTTGCATTTAGTAAATGTCTATTTTTTTAGTAGCCTCTTTCGTTATTTATTTATGTATCTGCAAAAGAATGTAAAAAGTAAAGTTAAAGCAAACTCAAAAGTGATAAAAAATATTGCGAAATTCTTGCTTCATTGTCAGCGAAAAGAAACGTTTTTAGATTATGGCATCAAGTGAAAAGCTATAATAAAAATATTATTTTGGCGCTTACACTTTTGCTAAGTGTTTGGCCTAGCTTCTCCTCCAATTTGTGGCATGCGTCTTGATGTTGTTACACAAATGGAGGGACCCAAAGCTTTACGCCGCATCCCCGAACGGCAAATGGGTTTTATCCGAAGCTTTTTCATGGCAGTGGAAAGCTATGTAAATTTAAAAACTCCAACTCCAAATCTGAATAGTATTGAAATCTTAAATAATTCGTATAAAAATCATTATTCCTATTTCCGATTTCTCCCGAATTTTCTAAGATGAAATGTACTACACACACTTCGATTCTTTAACGAAATTTCGGAAGCAAATCGGTCTCGAATTTTCTTAAAGAAATCGTACAGCAAATTCTTTGCGAAATTGTATCAATCACTTCACATGATTTTCCTTGAAGACTCGTCAAATAATCGGTAAAGAATTCAGAACACACTTCCATACTCTGAAATGTTTAACTTTTGGAATACAAACTATGTACGTGCGCTGAATCTGGAGAAAATGGCCGATGAGATAGTCCAAGTCATGATTTTCGTGATTTAATTGATCCAATAGGTTCGCATAATATTCACATTTGATTGTTTTAACAACTTCTCAAAGTTATAAAATTTTATCAAAGGAGTCTTCCAATTTGGTGGGCAAAATGGGAGACTCTAAATCACCTGCTTCAAGTGCATTTCCCAGGTTCCTTGGTGGATCATGATCTGATGACCCCTCTCTCCTTGGAACACAGCTTCCCTAGAGTGAGAAGTCATAGCAGATATAGCTTCATCTTTGACAGGGGCAAGGTAAGGTGGGCGGTAGAGTCTTTCGAACCCTTCAAATCAGCGGGTGGTAATGGGATCTTCCCAGCACTACTGCAAAGATGTGTTGAGGATATCATTGATGCCCTGATATGTATATTTAGGGCCACTTATTGCTGGGTATACATACCATGTACTTGGACGAAGGTGTTCGTAGCAAGACTTAGCTAAATCATACAAAACTTTTAGAGGGACTTTTAGACCTCCATATTAGGGAGAGACTTAACACTTTTACTCCCTTACACGACACACAAGGAGAGAGGGGCGGGTCTTTTCTCCCTTGCTTTGGTCACTTGTTTTGGGTGACCTCTTAATCATCAATCAGACTACAATATTGTGGTTACGATGATGTGGGATACGCAGATGACCTGGCAATTAAGTTACGGGAAAATTCGGTAGTACGGTCTCTGACGTTACATGTGCAGCTCTTCGCGTGGTCTCAAACTGGTGTGCCAATGAGTGCCTCAGCATAAATCCTCGGAAGGCTGTTCTGACACCGTTTACAACAAGGTATAAAGCAAACCTTGGTTCAGTCAAGAGTGAGTGAGGGACAGTGCTTGAATACTCCGATGAGGTCAAATATCTGGGGATTACGCTAGATAAGAGACTTTATTGGAACTCCCATCTTGAGAGAACGGTTGCTAAAACTACACGGGCCATGTGGGCCTGCAAACTTACAATTGACAAAATGGATAGTGTTACTGATGATTAGACCCTCTCAGAGCATTGTCCTATACTCTTTGAGTTAAATATTACCTCACAAAAAAAAAACTAGAATCTATTCCGAAAACTATCTTCAAAGGTGTAAACGAGAAGTTCTCGTTTGAACGACAGAACGAACGGATTAAATAAGACCTTCGGAATGCCCTTGACGAAAGCGCGTTCGTTAAGATACGCTGAGAAAGCTCGCACATCTTGGTAGGATGATGAACTTGAGATGTTTTCGAAGCCGATAGGGAAGTCTTTGAGAGATTGTCAAAGAAGTAAGGTGCGGGATCCGTACAAGGTAATCTTAAAGAAGTATAAAAAGGCTATCCGAGACGACGAGGATGCCTAATGAAGGAATTTTATGAATTCATTAGTTTTACCAAGAAGAGAGGCTCAGTTATGCATAATTGACATTGCATGGGAGTTGCTACATAAGGATTTTGTTAAACGAGCTTTACTTGTAAGCGGTTACCCAACGCAGAGCATTACATACATATGTATGTAGAAGTCTGTAGGTTTTTGATTTGCATAACTGAGCACTTCCTCCTGAATACACACTTCCCAGGGTGCAAGGTCGAGAGCAAAATGGAAGAGCCAAGTGCAGAAGGACATGTCTGCACTCGGGCACAAATTCGCAAAGGAGGGTGGCGATTTGCGAAATGTTTTGGTCTCAGCCTAAATTGAAAAATAAGAAAAAGACTATTTATTAATACCGAATAATGTTCCGCTAAGCTGGAGGAAGAATATTTATTCCTTAAACATATAAACGTTGCCTTGAACCTTTAAAGCTGCTTGCTTTTCATGCACTTAAAAATTTTTTTAGTTATTATACGAGTATTCTTCAGCAAATTTTATTTGAGCACAAATGCTTGTTTTGATAAAATCACGAAAAGTAAACAATTCAAGGGTTTGCGATTCAGTTCGTCAGTATTTACTTGAATTCACTTTTTACTTAGCCCATTTTGGGAATCCCCTTTAAATTATGCTATGCTTTGGGGAATTCGTGGTATGAATGCGTGCAGCTTCCTTTCATGTTGCCGTCCGCAATCATTGGCTTTTTCCTTTTAACGACATTTTATCTCATCGATTGTAGCATCCAATTGTCGAGCAGACTTCTGCGAAATTGCGTCAAGTGACCGGCATGCAGAGACTCTCTGCAGGACAGACGCGTGGTCAGTTGTTCAAAGCATGGAAGCTGGTGTGTAGATTGTGAACGATAAACTATAGAGAAGGCACTCTGCGTTTTGTGGCGACTCACACTTAGCCAAATTTTTATTTTATTTCATTTTTTTAGTTGATTCCATGCAACTCGCTCGCTCGGTGCTCCCTTTAATCGTCAATGTTTGCTGCCTAAAGCAATTCTACGCTATGTACCAACACCAGCAACAAATCACAGAATTGAAACGACAACGATGTTAGCGAATAAAAGCGCAGTTACCCACGGACGTAAAAACGGAGAACGTGTCAGCTGACACGAGCTATCTTATGGGATCTGCGTGTTAACAAAAACTCACCTCCGCAGGACCGTGACGTACACGTTGCTTCTCTCTCTTTCTATCAACAGCACACTTGATATCTTTCTACGTACTTCTACGCTACGCTACGTACACGTTCGTGGGTAACCGCGCTCTAACAGACAACAAAGCAGTTGGAAAACAAAAGGCGAAGAAAAAAGAAGTCAAGGGAAAGCGTCTGTTAACGGCTACGATGAAGAAAAGAAATATGTATGTATGTATGTACATTGGAACAACTCCAAAGACGATCTACAAAAACACTAACGAAGATTTGTATGGCACTCAGCTGATGTGACTGACAATTCAGCCAACTGACTGACTTGCCGGCTGACTGACTGACTGGCTGGGCACCTCGTTGACCGACACCGACGTCTCTAAGCTCGCTTGGTGAAAACAAAAGCCATTGTGACGAAAGAAAAGACATAAAAGCGAGTGTGGCGCACTCAATTGTTGAAGCGCTCGTAAAGCGCTGAAAGACCACGCTAAAAAACGCTAAATAAACGCCAAAGAAACTGAGCAGAGAAGTGATGAGAAAAAATGGAAATTTGTATTTCACAACAAAAACAATGAAAAAGAATTAGTAGATATCTGCAAAAAACTTAACGTACCCCGTACAAGTGGAGAAAAAAGGTGCAGAGTTTGAAAAATTGCTGATTTGCCAATCTTTCATTCGCCAGTTGTTACGCCAGCGATAGCAGCAATAGATAAAGAATTGCAAATGCCATTATATTGCATATCAGTATGCACAACATACGTAAGTATGTATGCTTGATATCTAACACACATACATATGTACATACATGCAGCTTCTGCATTTATCTGGGTACATTGATACACATTTATGCTCATATTATACTCAACATATCACCCAACGCTGCTTAGCCAGTCCCGGGCTAGACTGTCGAAGAGCAGAAGAACTCATCGAACTAATAAGATATTAATTGGATAATTGATTAATGGGATTAAATTAATCCATCCCGTACCGTATAATTGATATTGATTATCATAATTTTACGTTTTAGTTCCCATTTCGAGTTGAGTAAACTATTAACGATGAAACACTGACCGCCTGTGGGGTCGCCCACCTCAGCTTAACTACAGACATATTATTGACATTCTTCCTTAGTTATGCTTTATGCTTTTTGGCAGTGTAGTATGTCATAATGTGCGCATTTGTTCGTTGATGAGATAAAATTATGAACGGATGCGAACTAAAAGTTTTTACTCTTTCATTTTTTTCCATATCAGCTATGATTATTTTGATCAATGAGAGTAATAGCCCATTTCCACCAATACCTCAACTGCAGTTAAGAGCTCAGATAAGTTCCAAGAATTTTAACATGGGTTGGCCAAAGTTAATTTCTTACTCTTTACTATGATGCCTTCATTTTCTGGTACTTACTATTATCCCCTTCGAGTTGTAATCTCCTTTTTCCAATAGGCATAAGCTGAAGTTAAGGCTTGGTGGAAATGAACTAGGTATAAAAGAGTTCGCATATTGGCAAAATATTGATTTACGAATTCCAAATTAAGCATTAAAAATGTTAAATGGCAGATGCTGACATATCCCTGCAGGGAAAGCTACTAGTTGTGCACTAGAATTCTACCAGTTTGCGTTTCAGCCCAACTAGTTCACGTTCCATCCTTTTTCAATGTTAGCGACTGGTATTTTTAACATTGCTATGTCCTACGAGATGTCAATTGTCAGGCAATGCATCAGCATCTACTAGTAGAAATACTAGTAGCATCATACCAGTTGATGAGATAGTCTGCCAATTCATCCCCTATGCAAAGCATTAGTATGCCTTTTTGCTCGCGGCGCTCAAACAGTCGC